GCCAGGTCAACCCTAATATCACTGCCCGCAGAGACTGGCTCTAGCATCTCTAGCAGTGGTAGACGAGTTAGAAGAAGGTGTCTATTACACCAGCAATATGTCGACGTGTTGTTGGTCTAGTCAAATCCGGGACAATTGAAGCTCAGAGTAAATCAAGGGTTACGCTGATGGAAGCTTCCAAAATATGTTCGTGAACTGGTCATTTAATGGCCGACAGAAAAAGAGCGGAGACTAAAGTCGATCACTCGAGATATTGGCTTAAGCGTGTATGCTGAGATTTCAGCTACAGCCCCACGGGCTGTGCATCTTCCCGAGGCAAGGGAGTTAACTGACTTTAAAAGTCCAGTTTCCACCCTTGCCGAACTAGGCTCCAATTCCTGGGCTCGATCCTAGCGCCACCAGTGGCTATTACGAGTTATATCCCTTCTAAGCCTCTCCTATGGACCAATCTGATTCCGCCTCTCCTATTACTTGCATTTGCGGCAAATGTGTTGACGGTGCACATGCTTTGCAAATCCTGCAATCGACCGAAATCTGTACCACAGTTTATTAACCGGATTTAGATTTCGTTGCGCGTTTTTGATTGGACTATGCATAGACTCGTTGGTCCAGACAAAATGTAACTCCATTATACCAGCCTAGTTCGGCAAGGGTGGAAACTGGACTTTGATAGTCAGTTAACTCCCTTGCCTCGGGAAGTACAATGCACAATGAACAATGGCGCCACAGCTTCTTATATATTGTTCTTTCCATACTACAGCTTCAATAGTGTTGTCTATGTCTGAGGGTGATCGTTCCCTTAATGTTCTGTGAGGTCTGTGGTCATAATCCCGGACGATATCTTGCAAAATATCCATTTTGTTGTAGGTGAAATACCTGTACATAGTTGTCTTGAGGGTCCTATGACTCTCTCAGCATGAGACGCTTTGGTTTCATTCTGAGTCACATAATAGGTAATTCCTTTACTTTGTAAGAAAGCTTTCATTTTCCTATTATCAAATTCTCGCCCTTTGTCTGATCGTATGATCTTAGGCAGAGTTGAATGAGAAAATATTTGTTTCAAAGATTTAATAATAGAGTCGGGTTTTTTTATTGGTCAATGGCTCAACCAATGGATACCTGGTAAACACATTAATAACTATCATCGGGTATTTAACGCTTTCATTGTCTGAAGCAATATTGAAGACATAAGCCAAGTCTATATCCCAGCAATCATTCAATACAGGGGCCACCACTCTGTTCCGCTTGAATTTATACCTTAAAGGTCGCTGCAGTGAATAGGCATCTTGAGAAGCTAACCACTTCTTAATATGATGTAAACTGATATCATACTTCCCCTCCCAGCTGTGTTATTCAAACGCATTTTGTTTACACAGCTGACAGACGACTGGCTGTATGACCCGATTTCACGCTCTCAACCGGTTTGACTGTACTATACGAGCTAGTTTTAGTGTGACGTCACTCCTTCATCAACCAATCAGATTGACGTACCTTAATGTATCTGGCGTTGAACTGTCATAGTTGTTTCATCAGTCATACATTGATCAAAGTCAGCATAAAACATATCTAGAAACTACTCGTGGAATACATTCTATCTCATGACGATATGACAGGGGAAGAAAGTGACTCGGTGACGCCAGAAATGGGCTTCGCACATTGCACCCATGTCGGGAATCGAACCCGAGTCTTCGGCGTGACGAGCGAACGCTTTAAGCACTAGGCTACCCGACCGCCCTTATGGATAACAACTTCAACTGTAAAGGCCTTTTCAGTAAACAAAGAGTTGTTATTCATAAATTGTGTCTACTCTGTCCTTCGTCAACTTAATGTAATGCCTATCAAACAATTCATTAGGACTGTGTTTGATAGGCCTATCAAACAATTCATTATGCCTGTTTGATAGGCCTATCAAACAATTCCCGTGCCCTTGAAGATCCGGGACAGAACAGGTCTTCAGCAACCCATGCTTGCCGTAAAAGGCGTCTATGCTTGTCGTTAGAGTCGAGACCCGTGAAGATTCCGGGGTAGAATAGATGCTCAGCAGCCCATGCTTGCCCTTAAAGGTGACTATGCTTGTGGTAAGAGGCGACTAACAGGATTGGGTGGTCAGGCTCGCTGACTTGGTTGATGCATGTCATCGTATCCCAAAGGTCAGTCACTGGATTGTCTGGCCCAGACTCGATTATTTACAGACCGCTGTCATAGAGCTTCGTGCGGCGTTAAACAGCATATAAACAAACATTATGTCTGTGAACATGAACCAATAAGACCTCAACCAAGATCGAGATTTCCCCCAGCAATGTCTTCAGAAACCAAAGGATCATCTCACCATGACGAAACCTGAACTAAAGAAAAGACTATACTGAAAGAGGCGAGCCTTTCTGGGTCCTCCAGTCTTAAAAAGACCACCGAAGACATAATACAATTGGATGCAAAGTTTTATGTTTGTTGAATCAAATTGTAACGCACCCTTTATTTATTATGAACACACAATGCCATTACGAAAGTGGTTAAATGTAACAAATGTTAATTTTGGGATAACAGTTTATGAGTACAGACCAGATACTCGTACCTTTTTGGGTTGAGTCCGATTCAGGATTCGAACCCCCACTGGCAGAGTGAGGCACCTAATCGCCAGCACAAAAAGTCGGCGTGTCCCCGCTGGCATCTGCTGGATGTGATCAGCCGAAGAGTGTAGCAAAGGACCCCAGCACCCTCCAACGTGGCCCAGCTTGGAGTAGCTCTTTTGCCGGAATGGCAGGCAATACCAAAGGCAGCCATGCGCAAATTCATCCACAATATGCATCAAGATGTCGTGCATGTATCAGATGCGCATACCAGATATTGAACTAAACTCTCGAAATATATTTTTCAGATAATCATCGTCATTACACCTTCACGATCATTTCGTCAGCCCCCTTATCTTTTGCCGGTATTACCGGTTTAATTCTCAAATGTTTGGGAGTTGTCATTAACTCTGCCCTCCGAACTATCATGTACCGCATCGTGACTACAACAATATGGGCTAACTTAAGGTTTGATCTATAATGACGTCTTGAGGTAGGTGTCAACAGTGATCAGTTCCACGTGGAATTAGTTCCAACCGGAACAAATATTGCCACTGTCAATGTATCGCGGAAAACATTTCCTAGTGAAAAAAGTAGTTCCGGTGTGACAGAGGTCACGGTTATCCAATCAAAACGAGGTCAACCTTGTACGACGCACGGATTTAGTCATTCGTCACCACTCGCCCCTTTCCAAAGCCCGCAAGAAGACTCGATCGTCCCCCTTACGATGAATGTTATGTGCGAAAATACGACAAACCAATCAGAATGCACGTATGATTTCAAGTTCGTCGTAAAAGAATCCCTCAGAAATAATTTTTGATTTTACATATGTCTTGCATCTAAAAAGACACAGTTAAATGTGTTCAATCATACTGTATAATTCCGCATGTCTCGATGTGCTTTAAATTGCATCTGAAAGATATATAATATATGGGGAAATAAACGTGAACCATTACGCAACCTCTCATAGCCAATTTTGCGACCGAGTTTTAGATATGCCCGTCTGCGCTAAGACGGAACCCGGTCGCAAAATTGGCTATGAGAGGGGCACGAGTCGCTATTCAGTGTGCGAGCTCAGCCTATGTTACCGCTTATAGATGAAAACCAAGCCTCGCTTTCACACAGGTTATAAATAGATTCAATGCTAAAGACCCCATAGTGACGTCACAGCCCCTGTCACAGGAAGTGAAAAATCCTGGGCTCTACACCTACCTCATATAAACCTTCAATTACAAATCCTATATGTACATGTAATGTTTTCATATATTTCCCATTTCCACATATGTCAATTTATCAAAATAATACCTAAATATAACCCATCCATGCACTGTAGAGGCTGTGAGAACATGTTTATTGAAGTCACGTGACCTCAAAATATTCTCTCACAGGGTAGAAATCATTCATATGGGTTCCATCTGTCTTAAAGGGAGGAGGGGCCAATTCCTATGTTTCCTGCAATCACTGATCACTAAGCTTACTATATCCAACTTAAAATAGGAGGAGCTACAACTGTAAACATGTTTTTAATTGGATAAAAGACAGTCCCCAGTTTCCCCCTCGAAGTGACCAAGAAGTCCAACACAGAGCGGCCAGAAACATAAATAAATATGGCACCTTACTGATAGCATCACATTCTAGTGACAGATATGTTACTTTAGGGCAGTTTAACACCGTTTGTTTAAATTTGAGTTGACTGATATGTCATTGAGGGTCTAATTTGTATGTCAGGGGTCTAAACTGATTGTTTACAGGTTGTGGTGTTTGACATTTGGTTCTTTCTGTCTTAAGCTGTCTGGACATAGTTTGTCAGTGTTATCACACTGAACAGACATTTGCGCTTAAATAAATCAGAACTTAAATCTCAAATATGTATTGGTTTATTAGTTTTAATTAGGGAAAGTAACCCTTCGCAGCACCGGAAGTAGTCAAGATTTTAGTCACGTGATCTCTATCAGTAAAATGATTGGCTCAAACCTATCGTCTGCTGTAGCAGTATACTACTTTTACTGTTGTGGTGGACGATTACTTTTGGATTATACCTTGGTTATTGCATTTTTATGCTCAGTCATGGCTAAATCATGTGTTTCAACTGTTATTTTCTTGGAACTCACTTGAAATACCAGTCTCTTATTAACTATTTATCATGATGCAACTTCCAAGTGACACCACTGGAGATTTGTCAAGAAAGGTATGAACATATTGGAATTCTAGCACCTCTAAAACTACTGAATTTTCAAGTGGAAAATATCAAGAGTACATTTGTACAAATAAGGCTTGTGTATGCATTAATATTATATAGAAGTTTAAGCGCTTGTAGAATTTTGCATCTTGTGAATGTATGTGCATTTATGCCATCCAACAAGTCAACAAGAAAAAATAATGGTATTCCTCCTGAGAAAAACTTAAGACATCATATCATAATGGTAGCCCATGTCGTCCTTGTCAGGTATGCATACAGTTGGGACAATTTTAAAAAAGATGATCCTCATCATGAAATGAATAAACCTTATTATCCAGGTAAAAAGCATTAATATCCAGTGAATATATTTTGTAACATGGAAAGCTAATAAAAGTACAAAAAAGTTGTTTCAGTAGAAACCTCTGTTTAAAAACTCCAGTTGACAGAGACTATAGAGTGAATATGTCATCTGCTAGCAAATTGTATTTACTGTTTGTAGGTCGCACTTGAGAACGAGGCTTGGTTTTTACGGGAAAAGATATCAATTACAAAATTGAGGCTTAGCTCGCACACTGATTCGGCTTGTCCCGGAATTACACGAGTTGGTCACGAATGGGATTGAACATCTTACCACCTGTATCTTCACCACGTATGTATTAATTCTCGATATGTGATGTGGTGGTTGAAATATATATTTGATAACAGAGAGGACCTGAATGAGTCACAGTCTAAGACACATATATACAAAGACGGAAGTCCATGATTTCAATAACATAATTCAGTTACCATGTCTCCTTGCTGTTGTTATTTCTGATGTAACGTTTTGGGTACATATGTATTAAAATGGCTGTCACATGCATGAACGGGTCTCGAATATGAATAGACTTTCTTAATATTTATGCATGACCCCAAGGACAAACTCCAAAACTAGGTTTTACACGCATGTCTGCAACCTCCTACCCAGAGTTTCATGGCGGCAGAGCAAACACCCGGAAGTGATTTATCGCTCGTCTCGCATGTCTCGTCCAGCTTCCTCGAGAATTTTGACCCAAGTCAATCTAAGAGCGCGGGAAGTTCCCCGTTGAACAAGGGATTCCATTACAACAGCGAAGGGTTCATCAACAGTATTAAAAGTAGGTATATTGTGATTTTACACTAAATAACAATGACCACTTTGACAGGTCACCTTTCATGTCATATGCTGTTGTTTTAAAATGATTTTGATGGGCGCAACATGAATGGGCTAAGACAGTCATAATGACTGCTATCCAGCCCTTTAAACGTTTGTAAGCGCTATATTTTATTTATTTTAATTCTTGTGTTTTGGAATATTACGTTAGTCTATAATTAAATATGATTATTATTGAGGCTATAGTTTATTCTGTGTCACGTATATTGCATACGTCATAAATGCAAATGTTTTTGGTTATAGTTAAAAAAATCTTTTGCATGAACCATAATCATCCACAAATCTTCCATGAAATTCAGTTCTGCTTCATAGTTGAATGTGTGTATAAAGTAATTATTTTATTTCCAGCGTCGTGCGATGGATTCCTGTGTCCTGACTCGATCTATGGGGAAGAACGAAATCACACATAACCTAAAGGTAAGGACTATGAAATAAATATTTCGTATATGCATGTTCAATTAATCAAATTAATTTGAATCAATGGGTATGGAAGTTACATTAAACTGCAACACTTATTCTGGGTAACTGACCATGCAGATGATCCTGTTATTGAAAGAATTATATAAAAGATATCTTTTAAAACGTTTAAGTGACTCGGCACAATGTTTGAAGTGTTTAATACTAGAACACTTATTAAATTGCATTCACACAATTGCCATCTGTATGTATTTCTTCACAACGTCAATGTTTTTTTCAGATTTTTCTGACAAAAGATTCTTTAGTGAGGGTTTCTGCAACAAACTGTTCGTGTGCCAACAGACAGAGCCAGTGCTGTGGACATCAGTTTAAATACAATGTATGCACATTGTGTAATAAAATATTTGCGTCTCAAACGATTTGACACTTTTATCTCTCACCGGCAATTGTAGCACAATTCTATATGAGTGTGCAAAGGAAACGAGAATCAAGCAACTGTCCACAGCTGATTGATAGTTTTGCAAATTCTGCAACATGAACTCTCAAGGATGCTATGGTTTGTATTTCTCCTATTTATTCAGCTGAAAACTGACCACACTTAAATAGGAATGGGGGAATATGGAGACTATTTCTTCTGTGCAAAGTAGTGGCAATAGTAAAGCCTTGATCTGCACCCACACTAACACCAGGTTGAACAAGATCAAGAAAATTCCAAACACTTTATAGCTTTGCCATCTCAACATCAGACATACCACCTGTAGACAAACATGATACAAAGTTCACAGCATCATGAGGGGCTATACCAATCCGGCTTTATAGTGGACAGCTAGTTTTGGATACAACTTTTGAGTTGAGGACAAAGGCAGATGGAATTTGAATTTTTATTTCAGTGCAGTCAACAGCATGGTCCTGGGTCTAGCAGCCAAAGAAACAGTGTCAGAACAAACATAATACATGCTACACATTTTGGTGGTACTGGGTTTATCAAAATAAAAACATTACTTGAAAGTATCACAATCAGTAAAGAAATATAATATTGCATGAAACAGGGGTCAGTTCTCCCTGCGTCTGAGTATCTCAGCCGAGCTTCCCGGCGCCTCCGGCGCTACCAACACCACCGGCGCCCCCGAGAAGCAGAAATATCTCAGCCCAGCTTCCCGGCGCCTCCGCCGCTACCCACACCACCGGCGCCCCCGAGAAGCAGAAGTATCTCAGCCCAGCTTCCCTGCGCTCAGATCAACAAGTTTCAACAAGCTTCAACAAGCTGACAGTGTGCAAGCTCAGCCTATGTTACCGCTTGTAGATGAAAACCAAGCCTCGCTTTCACACAGGTTGTAAATAGATTCAATGCTAAAGGCCCCCATAGTGACGTCACAACCCCCGTCACAGGAAGTGAAAAATCCTGGGCTTTACACCTAGCTTATATATACCTTTTATTACAAATCCTATATGAACATGTAATGTTTTCATATATTTCCCATTTCCACATATGTCCATTTATCAAAATAATACCTAAATATAACCCATCCATGCACTGTAGAGGCTGTGAGAACATGTTTATTGAAGTCACATGATCTCAAAATATTCTCTCACAGGGTAGAAGTCATTCACAAAACTATGGGTTCCATCTATCTTAAAGGGAGGAGGGGCCAATTCCTATGTTTCCTGCAATCACTGATCACTAAGCTTACTATATCCAACTTAAAATAGGAGGAGCTACAACTGTAAACATGTTTTTAATTGGATATGAGACAGTCCCCAGTTTCCCCCTCGAAAAAGTCCCACACAGAGCGGCCAGAAACATAAATACATCTGGCACCTTACTGATAGCATCACATTCTAGTGACAGATATGTTACTTTAGGGCATCTTCACACCGTTTGTTTAAATTTGTGTTGACTGATATGTCATTGAGGGTCTAATTTGTATGTCAGGGGTCTAAACTGATTGTTTACAGGTTGTGGTGTTTGACATTTGGTTCTTTCTGTCTTAAGCTGTCTGGACATAGTTTGTCAGTGTTATCACACTGAACAGACATTTGTGCTTAAATAAATCAGAACTTAAATCTCAAATATGTATTGGTTTATTAGTTTTAATTAGGGAAAGTAACCCTTCACAGCACCGGAAGTAGTCAAGATTTTAGTCACGTGACCTCTATCAGTAAAATGATTGGCTCAAACCCATCGTCTGCTGTAGCAGTATACTACTGTTACTGTTGTGGACGATTACTTTTGGATTATACCTTGGTTATTGCATTTTTATGCTCAGTCATGGCTAAATCATGTGTTTCAACTGTTATTTTCTTGGAACTCACTTGGGATACTAGTCTCTTACTAACTATTTATCATGATGCAACTTCCAAGTGACACCACTGGAGATTTGTCAAGAAAGGTATGAACATATTTGAATTCTAGCGCCTCTAAAACTAATGAAGTTTTCAAGTGGAAAATATCAAGAGTACATTTGTATCAATAAGGTTTGTTTATGCATTAATATTATATAGAATTTTGCATCTTGTGAATGTATGTGCATTTATGCCATCCAAAAAGTCAGAAAAAATAGAAACAAAAGAAGAAATAATGGTATTCCTCCTGAGAAGAAATGTAAGACATCGTAACATAATGGTAGCCCATGTCGTCCCTGTCAGTTATGCATACAGTTGGGACAATTTTAAAAAAGATAATCCTCATCATGAAATGAATAAACCTTATTATCCAGGGGAAAAGCATTAATATCCAGTGAATATATTTCGTAAAACTAATATGGAAAACTAATAAAAATACAAAAAAGTTGTTTTAGTAGAAACATCTGTTTAAAAACTCCAGTTGACAGAGACTATAGAGTGAATATGTCATCTGCTAGCAAATTGTATTTACTGTTTGTAGGTCGCACTTGAGAACGAGGCTTGGTTTTTACGGGAAAAGATATCAATTACAAAATTGAGGCTAAGCTCGCACACTGTGAGTATCTTAACCGATCTTCTACTTCGGCATAAGCGCCACCCACAGGCCCCTGAAGCAGGATAGTGATATAACTGAAACAGTGGACCCATATTTATATATATGGGTCCACTGTTTCAGTTATATCACTATCCTGCTTCAGGGGCCTGTGTCGCCACCTAGCGGTTATAGTGATAGGACGCATTACGAGCGGGCTCTCGCCTTGATGATCATTTCTCGCCGAAAACTATACCTATGACAACATGTGGTAAGACGAAAATATAATTACAGGTATTGTTTTCATCATGGGCTGCGATTTGGCCATATACAGAGCCTATATTGGCAGCTTTCATGCTGTCTTCTTCAACTACATGACTGCTGGACAACAACGAGTGTCGGCCATGCGTGTGCACGTTCTGCACGCCCCCCGGAAAAAGGTGCTGTGTGATGAGACTTGTTTTGTTTCTGTCAGTGTTATTGATACAGACGTGTCCTGACACTGAGAAAAAACCCGGCGACAAGCGACAATTGACGGTGGTTTAACATTGACTGAACTTGTATCTGAAATAAAAGAAATGCGGAAAAAAATGAAAAATAACTTCAAATGTAACATATGTTATATTTGGGATAAAACTTTCTTCGCAAAGTACAGATTCTCGTATTTTTTTTGGGTTGAGTCCCGTCCGGGATTCGAACCCACACTTGCCAGAGTGAGGCACTTAATCGCCAGCACACAAAGTCAGCCATCTAACCCACTCAGCCACCGAGGCTTCCACAAAAATGAAAGTCCGACGACTGGTAGTCTAGATCAAGTACTTTGAGTACCCTTCTGACAAGTGTAAATTGGCACAGCTCCCATGGCACAACTTCAAAGACTTGTCATCGAAACTACAGAAACTTGAAACTGATGTGAGCGATCTTGTTGAAGAAAACTCTTTGCTGCGCTCCCAGATAAATGTACTTTCGTTGAGAGTTTACAAGATGGAGCAAAGAAAAACAACGTCATTTTGGGGTCCCTGAAAGTAAGAATGAAATAGCCGAAAAAACTGAAGACAAGATATATACAATAATGACTAAAATTATGAATATTTCCACAGATGTTGAATTCAGTCAAGTCAAACGTCTGCCGACGAAAGGGAAGGGTCCACGTCCAATCCTAGTAACGCTGAGCCAGTACAAGTACGAGCCACTCGTCCTAGCTGCCAGGAGTAAGCTGAAAGAAGAGAGACTGAGTGTTTCACAGGATTTCACCGAATGCGTACGTGACATCAGAAGAAACTGAAGAAATTTATGGATAAAGCTAGAGAAGAAAACAAGTACTCAATACTCAGACATGACAAGTTACAACTACAGTAAACTACGTTTATAACGAACACGCTTATAACGAACTGACGGATATAACGAACTTACTTTTTTGTCCCGACTATTTGCTGTAGTTATGCTGTATGTATGCTTATAACGAACTACGGTTATAACGAACTAAAATTAGTGGTCCCTTTGAGTTCGTTATAACCGTAGTTTACTGTATACAACAAACTCTATAGACTAAGTGAAGATGGTGAGAATGTTATGTATATCAAAACACTCAAGCCCCGCCCTCAGAATAAAAAGATAAATAACATGAAGGTCAAGGCCTATTGGATCGAAATCAGTCGCCTCCATTGGATCTATTAGTTTTGAATGTAGAAGGACTAAGAGGTCAACTGTTAGACATTAACATTATAAACCTAACTGCATCCTACATCATCATCGTGTGTGTTGAGACATGGGTAAATCAGAATGATAATCTCTCCCTCCCTGGATATACACTTCTGCATCATACTAGAACTAAATCTTCGGGACTACGGGAGCTATTAGAAACTCTAGTGGCGTTTGTGCTATAATTAAAGACGATATCATGATTTATGTTGAAAAAATGACCAAGACATCTACTGATATTTTGTGGCTGAAAATTAACTCTTTACATCAATTTCCAGTATTCATATGTATTTGCTACTTTTCTCCTGTAGGGTCTAGCATCCACGCTGATGAATCTATATTTGATATCTTGGAAGATGATATATCCAACATCACATCTCAATATCAACAGTGTCATGTTTACATCACTGGTGATTAAACGCCAGAACTGGAACGCTACCCGATTACATTGTAGATGATGACGTCACTCTGTTACCAACTGAAGAAGCAGGCTATACACAAGATACTCCGTGCGCAAGAACATCACAGGATACAGTCGTTAACAAGCGAGGTCGTGAAGAATATTCGGTGACAAAGATATTGGTAAATCCACATATATCACAAGTGATGGGCAAAGTGTTATTGACTATTTGATATGTGATGACAACGCAAGATCAATTATTAGAGACTTTCAGGTAATGACAGAAGTAGGATCTTCCCATATGCCGCTTGTTTTTCATTATTTACATCAGATAACCATCCCGTTAATGGACACGAAATTGTGTTACCAATAGTTGGATATACCTGGCCACAGAAC